AATCCTGTAGAAACACCCTTCCCATTGGTTCTGGATTCTGCTTCAAGTTTCTCAGCTCTGTGTCCAGTGGTGTCAGGGCACACCAGGAAGAAGAAGGGGGTGTGGGAACCACAACTCCCACACCCACATTTATAGGGGTAGTCATGAAGCCGAGCACCTGCAGTTCTTTTTCATGCAAATGAAGCATTCCCAGAACCTCAGCCCCAGTTGATGATGTTCAGTCACCAAAAACCTCTCCCCACTTCCCCAAGGTTTATGTAACTCTCATTTTTCTGCAATAACATGCTGCTGCAACACTAGAAGAGCTGTACTGGAGAAGGCTATTTTTTTTTTCCCCTCCAGGCCTTCACCACACAGCTGGACTGGGAAACTGCAAACCTACCTGCTAATCTTCATTCCTTCCCATCTACCACTTGTACACCTTGGTGCCGGGATGTCCCAAAGGGAATAAGAGGACCCTAGTCTCCAGGCCACCAGAGGAAGAGTCCATGACTTTCATTTGGATAAGAAATTAAAAAAGAGAATGTGGCGTCTTAGATATTTTAGTTCTGAAATGAGTAAGCTTCAGATACCAGCAATAGAAAAAGTAAGGGATCTACAGCTGAAGATATATCATGGACTCCAGGCTGTCTAATCTCCTTCACTAAGCGTCTATCATTTCACATTTTAAACATGACTTGGATGATACAGGGCCTACATTATCATTGTCAAAATGGGCAGTTTCTCTCTGAAGCCTTTTCAAAGTCTAATCTTTCCAAGCTTTGATAACCTCCATTTTGTCTTTACTGAATCCCACACATGAACCTTCAACAGGAGAGGAAGACAATATTGTGGTTAAAAGATCCGAAGTATGATGAAAATCAAATAAACAATAGATCCTAGAAGGATTTATTTGGCTTACAATTTAAGAAGAGACACATTTCATCATGGTGAGTAAAGCATTGCAGCAAGAACATTAGTCAACTGGTCACATGGTAGCTACAGTCAGAAAATGGAGAGAGGACATCATAGCTTGGCACCATGACTCATCTCCTCCAGCTTGTCCTCAGATAAAGGTTCCAAGGAACAGGAACACAAGGAGACTGACTATGAAAACACATGGATCAGTGTGGGACATTTCATATTCAAATGACAATGTGCAACTCTGCTAAGGTTAAGAGACTATTTTACTTCCTCAGAGCTAACTGCAAGAGATAGTCATAATCAGGCTTAAAAATCAGGTGACCTTGTCTTTATGTCTGGAAAACATAGAGATACAGGGTTAAGCCTTAGGTAAACAAACAATGTAAAAAAAAAAATGTTTAAAAAAAAGAATGCTTACATGACAGCCCTCTGCAGAAGAAACTAGGGAAGTACATTGGTAGAAAAGAAGATAGAGTAAAAGCATATTTGCCCACGATGTGCTCGAGAATTTATGACAGTATCAGTGAGCCTGTCCTACTGTTTACTGGCTAATATATTCTAAAGGGACTTCAGGGGATTCCAGGGAGGATGATTGGTCAGTTCACAGCAAGTGGAAAACATGAGAATTTCACTCTTCTCTTTGAATCCTCAAAGGAACTAAAAGGCAAGTTTTTATTTTGTTTTGCTTTGCTTTGCCTTCTTTCTTTTCGAAAAGGATTCTTTCCTCGCATCATGGTTGGCCTAGAGTGTGTGTGTGTCTGTGTGTGTGTGTGTGTGTCCCAGCAGTGTTCAGCTAAATGCTACCAGGGGTATGACAAGACTGAGCCTTAGTAAAAGAATCCAAAAAAAAAAAAAAAAGGTTGAATACATTAGACAACCCACTGGGTAAGGCATCTTGTCTTTTTCACTGGGGGCCTTTGATCAAATTAAATTACCTTCTGTTTGTTGTCATCACAGCTCTCTCTATAAATATCTAGGGCTCTAGCTACCGAGATAAATGAGTAGAGCCAAAGTTGTTGGGTCAGGCCATAGGAGACCTCTCAGTTGCTACCTTCTCACCAGAAGAGAACAGATTGCATTTTTAGCCCTGAAGGTCTTGCTTTATGTTTTATAGGACAGAGCTAAGATTTCAGTGTCGCAAGATCAGAAATCTCTGTAACAATCAAAAGAGCTGTTGAAGGTGGTCTCCCTGTTCTACTGACTGGTCCCTTGAGTCTTCCTCCAATTCATTCTGTCCACCTCACCTTTATCAATGGAAGAGATAAAAACTACTGCTTTTCACTTAACTCAGTTTCTCATTTATGTGAACATAGCAGTATGTATTCACAATGTTTTTATAGTTTCTATTACTGCATTACATGAAGACATTTACATGATGCATGTGTAAATGCATATACATGTAATGAATGCATGTATATACAAATGTTGAACATTTCTAGTGCATATGCTCTAAACCTCCCCTATTTTTCTCCTTCCTGATGATTTATTTTTGCCTTTCTAGACTGATTTTGCTATCATGTTATATGGAAAAAAATGATTTCTGTAGCTCTCTAAAATGTAAGAGTTACATGTGACAAAAACACATAATACACTTTCTAAAATGTCCACTATTAGAACAGAGAAAAATAATATGAGGCGTGTTCACAAAGGAATATTTTGCCCAAACACAAAGAAGCAAGCTCCATCATTTGTAGGACTGTGGATGAAATTAGAAATAAACAAATTAAGCAAAATAACTTTTGATTAATTTCTTTGTTATAAAGATTAATGGGATTTACTGTGGTATCTCCAAGTGCACAGTATGCTGAGTGAGCTGTGTCTCTTCAGCCTTCTTCTTACATACGCCATGCCCTTAATCACTTTCTAGTTCTTGTTCCACTAACACATCAAATATTTAATTTAATATTTACTTTTTTATATAAGAAAGAAATAAAATATATTGCCTTTCTGTGTTTGGCTTATTTTGTTTAACATGGTTTTCTCTCCAGTTTTATGCATTCCACTATACTGAATTATGTTTATCCGCCATGTTTTATTTATTCATTCATCCCTGACGGACATCTGGATGGCTTCATATTAGGCCATTGTGTTATTGCCAATTCATGGATATGCTGGTGTCTTTTAAGTATATTACCAAGAATTGTTAAGATATGTCACTTAATAGTCTGATTATAGGTGTTTCTTTTGGTGAGAAAAACAGGATTAAATGGTTTTCTTCAGTTCCTTGCCTCATTTGTATGTTGCTTTATTTGCTCTGTATTTTTTTTTTGGTTGAATTTTTGTTTTTGTTTCATTAATTGTTATTTTACTTTAGTTTTGTCTTTGATACCAGCCACGATAATAAGAATGAAATATAATGTTATCCTACTTTTCATTCTCTGATGCCTACTGACGTTAAACACATTTTCATGACCATCTGTGCTTATTTTGAAAAATTTATTTCTAAACTTTTTGCCTGTTCTTAATTAGGTGACTTGGATTTATTATTATCAATTTTAATTGACATGAATATATTATTGTATTAGCACTTTGAAACATGAATAATTAGCAAATATTTTCTCCGACTTCTGAAGTTTCTCTTCACTTTACTGATTTTTTGCTTTCCTGAAGCTTTTGAGTTTGATGTTATATAAGTTATTTTTTAATTTTATTTCATATGCTTATAGTGTCATATATAGAAAATCATTGCCAACACAAATTTTTAAAACTATTTCCCCTGTGCTTTTTAAAACTTTGTATTGGTTCTTTGTGAATTTCACATGTGTACCAATCCCATTCCTCTCTCCTCCTCTCATAAGTGCCCTCTACACTTGCAGCTTTCCCCAGCAGAGAAAACAGAAATCTTGCTGTGGAAGCTGTAGTCTCTCACGGTGTATCCCACAGTGGGCCCTTCAGTCCACACTTCGTTGCTGGCCGGTGCTCATTGCAATGACTTGTCGTTCTGGTATGAGGCCTCTTGGCTTCTGCTGATTTATCAACACTGGAACCTCACTGGGACTCTTCTCAGGTATCTTTTGTTGCTCGGTGTGGTGTCATAATGTTCCTGTAGTTCTGGATCTGTAGGACTGGCCCCTTCATATACTCCCGTTGGATCTGGACCTGGGAGGGATTTGAGTTCCTCAGATGGTTGACTTTATGGCTGTCTGGCCCTCAGGGCCAGCTCACCAGCAACTTCTGCAACCAGGCCCATTTCTACCCTGCTGCCCAAGTAAGGTGCAGGGCCTGTTCTCCTGAGAGTTGCAGGGCTGGCTCTCCCATTTTCATGCACATGCGGCTGGCTCATCCACCACCCCACACCCAGGGCCAGCTCTCCTGTACTGCCTAGGTGAAGTGCAGAGCCTGCTTTCCTGAGTTTTGCAGCATGTGAGAGTCAGGGACAACTTTCACTGTTCATGGGACCAACACTCCTGCCCACAGCTCGCTCCCTTCCTGGTGGACCACACAGCCGACAAGAGCCAGCGCCAGCTTTCCCAAATTCATGCCCTCAGAAGTGGGCTCACCTTCAGCCCCCACATTCAGGGTCAGCTCTGCTGTGCTGCATGAAGAGGTACAAGTCCTGCTCTCCTCAGTGATACAGCTGGTGAGGGGCAGGGACAGCTCTTCTGCTCTGATGACCTCTGGGCTAGCTCTCTTGTCCCCATAGGTGGAAAGGGTGAAGGGGAGAGCATCTCTCCTTCGCCCATGTTCCCACTTGACAGACATTTGATATGACCAGCTCTCCCACTTTGTATCCTCAGGGCCGGCTCACCCACAATCCTGCAATATGTGGGGCTTGCCGTCCTAAGTACTGTAGCTGGCTGGCTAGGGGTGGGATCAGCTCTCCTGCTCTCATGCCCCCAGTGTCATGTCTCCCATGATGCTCAAGTGAAGGATGGGACTATTTCTGAATAGCCCTCAGACATCAACATGTCCCTGGGTGGCAGCTCACACCAGAGACATCCACCTGGTCTTTGGTCGTAACAGACCCTCCTACTGCATTATGGTTCCAGACAGGAGTCATCTCAGGAATGGTATGCCCCCCACACACCTCAGGACTTCACAGTACCCTACTGGTGGTCCTCTCAGCTAGCCCCCTCTCCTGGCGCCATGCTGGTGGTAGTCTCAGACTCACTATTTTCGGTGAATGTTTGTATGTGAGAACACTGAGCGCAGACACAGCCCCTTCCTCTGCCACCTACTGATGTGTGTGTGACACAGCGGCCGTTCCTGCAATGCTGTAGGGGCAACATTCCCCTATGTTTTATCCCAGGACTCTTAGAATTTTAAGTTTTTGTATCATGGTATTCATTGTATTCCATGTGTCTTATTTAATGAAAACACCCCATATTATCGTAGCTCAGTAGAACACAAAGATGCTGCTAGGTCCTATCAAAACCATTCCCCATGCCGTTCAGTGTAAGAAACGTCTGTGTAAATCCGTAGAGCATTTCTCACCTCCCAAGAGATGTGTCTTGCCAACGGTGAAGTATTCAGGCTAGTTAAAGTGAGCCAGCCCAGGCTTTACAATCAGATACACTCATGCTTCCACATTACATCTTGCTGGCTAATGTTCCCTTGACAAAGTCATTCGGACAAATTAGCTCGACCTTCCTAAGCCTTGACTTTTCTTCTGTGTCAAATGAGACTGAGGACACTTATCTCCAGGGTTCAGTTTGTGGGTTAAAAAGATGCTATGTTTAGAACATCTAACACTGTGCTTGGCACATCGTATTTGCTTAGAGACTGGATCACTTAGTATAAATTGCCTTAATAATTTCTGTTGTTACTTGGATTATTTTTGTCTTGAAGTGACTTGGTAATGATGATCATAAATGCTGGGTCCTTAACAACACTTGAATGACGTAAAACAGATCAAGTAGAACTTTCCCTGTTGATTCATTACTTTATACTCTCGTCTACATTTTTTTATTATAGTAATAATAATTATTATTATTGGTTATTAAGGTTTTGATACCATTTCACTGCTGCTACCATCACCAGCATTATTACTGCCCCAGTGTCTCTTAAAGTCAGCATCATGGCATAGGAACAGACAGGTTTGCCTTGGATCTGGACTATGCCTCTCACTGTCCTCATGGCGTGAGAAAGAAAGAAAATCTAGCTGAGGGAGACTTAAGCAGTCTGCAGTCTGTTGTACCAGTGTACCTGTTGATAGATATCATTTAAATTTATTAAGTTTTTACATTGTCCCTGTAGACCAACTCAAATCTCCCCAGGGCAGGGGATAATTGTTTCATCTCTCTCTGCCTTTTTCCATCTGGAGTAGCACTTAAAAAATGTTTTCTGGAATGATAACAGATGATTTTTAAGTTACGTATTCTGTTTAACAGCACTATATACTCTAGAAAAGCACAACTACAATGTAATGAATCTTTGAATTTGAGGCATAAATATGGGGAAAGGAGACTGCCACCCTATTACACAACTGCCAGCAAAATTACAGGCAAAGAGACACTTTTTACAACAGTGACTCTCCAGCTCTGATGTTGCAAGCGGCCTGAATGTTCGCCTATTTCCAGAAAGGGTGGAGTTACTGAATTCCCAGAAAGTCTTTAAAACAAAACAAATGACTCATATTACTTCAAGTCTTATTAAGAATTTCCTCTGTGTCACACAGCCAGTTCATATCAGCATCAAGATAAAAACTCAGTTTTCCTCAATTTTGGGCCTCCCAAAAGTGGACTTAATGTTAAATTTACTTTTATTAACGTAATGTTTTCCACATTTCATAAAATTAGCACATCAAAAATGTTAGTATTTCTGAGTGACTTCTTACTCCATCTATTGTAGTCCTGAGAAAGTGTTCAATATATTAACTTTGAATGATGGGTTAGCAAATGATAAATGATTGTCAGAGTCTGGTAATGTCAAGCAAGTATTGACAGTTTATACAATTGTACATACTGTACTCTCTATTAGCTCTGTGTTATGAACATATTCCAGCTTGATTTTTCTCAGATTTATTCTTTTTACTCATGTGATTCTGGAGGATTCCCTTTCTTGTCCTGAGAGATATTATTACAGTATTCACAGCTCTAACACAAAATCCTCAATAATTTTTATTTAATTCCACTACAACCTTCATGTTAACATAGTACATATGTTCATGACTGTGTGTTCTGTGTGTGTATGCTCTTTGTGCATGCTCTGTGTGGATGTGTTGTCTCTCTGTGTGTGAAAATGATCTAAACATTATAAAACTTTGGGAGCATGATTTTGACATTTATCTCTGCCTCTGTATGCATCTTGCATTGTTCTAGCTGCATAGCAACTTCTCTATAAATGTTAGATAGCAGAAAGAGCAAAGTGAAGAAAACTTTCTAAGAGAAAAAAAGAAAGTGATAACTTTTTTCATCAGTGCATTCCTCTGCTAACAATACTGAAAGGTAAATATTACCTGTATTTGAAGGAGAGGCAAGAAAGTATAGACTGTTAGATATGGGATCAGTACAGACATGTTTGAGTTCCAGAGCTGAAATTACACTTTCCAACATACTGAAATAAAATGCATGTTAGTTATCCCATAAAAAAAAAAAGGTACTGGAGTTCACAGAAAGAGAAGGGAAAGTACAAAGAGAGAACAAACACTAACACATAGAAAAGTTGTAATTCTCATGCTTTGGAGGTAAAGGTAATAGAGAGAAAGAGAAGTTAGAGAGAGAGAAACAATGAATGATTACCTAGCAAGAACCAGCTTACTGCCCACAACATTCTTAAAGTGGGTCAGACACAACAAGGCCGACAAACAAAACTTGTTCTCTGGAATCCATAGAGTGGAAGGAGAAAACCAACTCCCGTAAGTTGTACTATTCTCCTGTGGTCTCAACACGGAGCTGGCACAGAGAGGGAAAGGCAGAAACAGGAATACAGCTCAGGCGAAGAGGAAGAACGACTGAGGGCACATGGCATAGCACAGAAACGACAAGGGAAGTCTCTGTGAGCCCTGGAAGCCCGGCCTGGAGCTGTGTGCACTCTCCATAGCTTGGGCAATCATAGATGGCATTAAAAAAATAAAGAAGGACGAAAGAGGGAACAGAGCTCTCTGCTATACTCCTCTCCAATGGTGAAATTTATTCAGAGTTTACTCTAAGCTGACAAGAATGCACAGATGGTGAAAGGCACAAGGGGTCAGCCGGGGTTTTCATAGCTAGCAATGTAGGAGCCTACGATGTATAACTTTAAATGTCAAATGTGGGAAACAAGGAAATTGCAAGCATTAGTCCAAGACGTGCTTGGATTAAGGCAAACTGTGTTTCTTTCCTTAAGATTATTCAAAGTGGCAGAGTATAACACTGCTAAAATGTAAGATAATCTTATAAAAAGTGGTGCAGATGATTAATTTACAAGCTTTTGAAATGTATATGCAAGATGGAAGGTGTTTTCAGGATTATGCAATTTGGCAAAAGAGATACATTTCATTTATAGAATTTCAATTGCACTCTACTGAACGTTCTTGAATCCTCAGTCTTATTTTACTCTCAAAGCTGCCATACATATGGCTGTGTAAATACTGCCACACTGTAGACAAAGAATCAGAACATGTGATGAGGAGATCCAGACATTCTCTTTTGCTAGAAAGTTATCACAGGTTCCACCAGTTCACCAGCCAACCGCCTTGACTTCTGCTTCCACAGGATCTTGTCTCTCACTCTACTGACCTTAGCCATATCCTTTCCAGGCACCGAGGAAAGACTGAAAATTATTAAGGCTTCACTACTTCACTACTTAATGAAGACACTTCTATTTCTTGTATACTTCCATGAGATTTTAAGTGCTAGAACCACTGTTTAGGAATAGCAAAACAGATCCATAACAGAGTCACTACTCTAACTGCAGAAGAGTATTGTGGGAATGGACACTTACTTTTTCCCGACTTTTACAGATGAGGAGATTGTCTTGCAGACATGAGCATGCCGGAGTGTTAGAAGAGTAACTTGAACTTCAGCCCATTATCTTACAATGATTGCTTCTTTCCCTTTGGCAATTTCACTAGTGACACCTTCAAATTTTTAAAGCATCTTCATATCTCTGATGCACTTTCTTTTTTGCCATCTACTAAACTCACATTATAAACACACATGTGTCTTTATAGAGGTCATTGTTTACGAGTCATAAATCATCATAAGTAGAAATAATAAGCACATAACCATTAAAACCACACGCGTCTTACTTACAAGCATTTAGTGCACTGCACGGTAGTGGTCTGACCTCAGTGTGCCAGTTGCAGGTAATGATGCTCAGAGGTTGAACTCCACAATTCACAGCCCTTAATTCAGAGAATGGCAGGATAAGGTGTTCCCTGCACTTAGCAGTGCTGGCTCTTAGGCTGCAGCCAATGCTGCAGGAGGTGATGAAGAGCAAAGGCTCAGCAGGACCCTGAAGTGAGCTGAGCACAGCATTAACCAGAGATTCATCCCCACAGTTCATTTCAAAAGTGCTTTTTGTAAGTAGTAAGTTTCTCCAGCATGGAATTCCCACTGGGGAGCCCTAGACTCCTTCAGAAGACTCAGGGTTGCTAGTTTAAAGGCCAAAATGACTGAATTTTAGCTGTTAGTGATCACCGACTTACCTCCCCTCAACAGGAATGAAACGGGGTTCCTGGGAAGACTGACAATTACATGGCAAGTCCTTACACGCTATCCTGGTGTTTTAGAGAGAAAATCATTTGTTGCATATTTGTAAGTGACAAATTGAATATTCAGTTTGCAAATGAGAGATGAGTTGGACTTGATAAGTTTGAAGTTGATAAACCAGTCAATTAAAGCTGTCAGCAGATGCGTCAGCGAGTTCATGACGGACCCTGATGTTTTCCTGATATAAGCTTACGCTGCATCTCCCCTGCTGAAGGGATGCTGAAGGCAACACATACTATGTAGAAACAAGGAGAAATAAATGCCTGTGAGATTATAACTGCAAAATGGATGGAGGAGGCTCGGATTAAACTGAACATGAGTCTGATCTGATAGGACTGAGAAGAGTTAACTGTGCAGTGTAAAGAATGAAATCATGAGTTAAGTAAGACACCTCCTTTTTCTTAACAAAGATAGTCAGATGTTCCACTCTGTTGACCTTGTATTGGCTCTCATGAATCCTAGCAGGAAATCTCAAGGACAGAACCAATGGCCATATTAAACATGGTACATTTTCCTTTGTTTCTTATTAAGATACTCATAACCAGATCTGTTTATACTTAAAATTAAATAGAGCATATTTTTAAAATACTGATT